TACTTAGATGGGGTCGAGCTAATTCAAATTATCACTTTTTGCTGAATCGCAATGACAAAAGTATAAGTGGCAACATGTATGGATAGTAACTTAAGACTTATGTTTAGGGAATTTTTTCAAAACAAAGTTTTAATTAATCTACCTCTTGCATTATTCAATATTCGTGATTAACCTCTTCATATACTATTTCTGGAAACAGACTTTTCTAGAAGCTACGGTAAAAAAACCCATTCATTTAAACAAATTGGTAAAATTAACCATGGATCAAGTCCTTTCAACAAGTTTGTAAGTGACCTTTTTTTCGACTAGACGACTTCTGAAGACTCATTCTCCAAGTTTGACTACTCTTATTTGTTTTTGAATTTAGAAGTTAATAGTTTATAATTTGAGCTTTTATAGTACATACAGTTCTTTAAAAGTACATCAGCAAGTGTCAAGATAAACAGTCATGGGATCTTCTTAATAAAAAGCCATTATAAAGCACAATAACAGTGTTTCAATACTACAGAAAAGCAGAGCGTACCATGTCTTAAGAAGTGCGCATCAGTGCTACCATACATGTGGGTTGGTGTTCTTTAGTGTGAAATAAATGGTATACTAAAGTAGAGCATTAGCTGATTAACATTTGTAACAACTGAGCTAAGTAATAAATGTAGTTTTATGTAGGTACCACAGTTAAGCTACGACTGTAATACACTGGACTCTCAGTTTTTAAAGATAGTCGCAAGCTTATACCCTATCTGGCATAACAGATGGATACTTAACGTGGCTTGGGCGATTTTTATCGGCTTAATCAAAACTTCTGGAATTCTGAAATTATGTAAATAAAATATACCAAATTCATTTAGAATAAGAAAATACTGTTGTTAACAACTTTAGTTCTTCGCAAATCATTACGGAAAATACACTATTTAAACACCTACTTTAATGGACAGTGATCTCAAAATCAACTGCATCTGAGAAAATCTTTGATTAATCTCTAAAATTTTAAATAGTTGTTGTGTACTTTTTTACAAAGAATCTGTTAATTTCTTAAAAATATAGGGTCAACGTCTTAACTTAAGAGAAAATTAGAAGAAAAGTATGAAATATTAATCTGGCATGCCTTGCAACATCTCTCAGTTTTCAAAATTATAGTTTTACGGTAGTTTTCTGGAAATTTCTTGATCTTATACTTTGGTTACATTGAATTATCTATATTTATTCAAAAATCGTCCGTTAAAAAGTGTTGATTTTTAGGGGACTTTATAGCACCCTACCCTAGGTACGGTACTAATCGCCCAAGCCACCTTAACAAGTATGCCACGTGACAACATAGAGCAGCAGGTGGACTAATTTTCTAATCCAGTAAAATTTTTTTCCATTTTATACATAGGGCCAGAAGTCATAAATATGCCTAAAAAATATGCTTCTTTGATCTAGAATAGATTTATTACTAAAACTAAATGCAAAATCAGCATTCTTAATTTTTCAAATTGACATAGAATTAACAGTGCGTAATAAGTAGAATTCTTATGCAGCAATAATTAAGAACATAGTAAACAGACAGGTATTTAATAGTACCAGTTTTTTCGGGTTGTTTTTGTTGTTGTTCTTGTTAGTTTTTTTTTTTTTAACTTTTACTCACAACTTTGCGATGGGCTTAGTGACTTTTTATGACGAAAAGTAATGAAAAAGTTCAATTAAAAACATAACCCTTACAAAAAAAACTTGTTTTAGATCTTTTCAGCATAAGCTACTTGAAATTTAATCAAGTTGTGAGAATTAAGGATCTATTGAAAGAATGGAAAATCCACAGTTGTATGTTCAAATCACAGAGACTATTATTTATTACTAACTTGTCATTTTATCCTCCATTTTGTAACTCTACTGTGTTTTTTTATAAGTGTGTCTTATCCTAAAAAAGTGTTAGGATATTTTTATATTTAGTTGGAAACCATCATAAGAAAAATAAGTTCAAGCAATTTGTTAAGGACATTGGCTAACGGAATACAAATGAACGGGTACAGCACTTATTTTACTTAAAATTTTTGAAAAACACAAAATATGTACTTAGCTTAGACGTTCATAACAATTATTTTTTAAAGGTAATTGATACGCTAAAAGACATTTTCCTCAACAGATAAGCGCGAAGGTTTACCTTTAATTTTTGCTTGTATTAATTAACGTAAACACCGCTAAAATTCGTACATTCAAACACCTTTTCTTGGTTCTTAAGGAGGCTTGGGCGTTTGGTGTCGTATCTATTGAGGGGCCCCTGTGGGGTACTTGTCATACAAATGATACTTTGTAATATTTCTATAGATTTCTTACCTTATGCTTTTTTTTAGGCTTGTTAATTTCTTTTCTCCGACAAAAAATTTGAAGGAAGGTGAAAAAATTTTTACTATCAATCTTAATGAAGATCGATCAAACTATTTTCAAAGTAATACTATAAATGGGAGATTAATAACTCCTCTTGCACTGTGTTTACATTACGCGTGGGAGATTCTTAAAACAAACAACTTTGAACAAGAAATCGATGTAGTTTTTGAAGAAGTGAAAGTTTTTAAAGCTACTATAGACGTTCCTGATGATAATGTTGTTAATTTAACTGTCATTGTCCCAAAAGGTTTGTTTGATGCTTATAATACTTTTATATTCTCAAAGTACCTCTTAATAATAACTTTATAAACAGGAACTCAAAAATTTGAGATCATGGCTGCCAAGACACTTCTTGTTACTGGAAAAATCAGAATAACTAACGCACCAAATGAAGAAAGAGTTAAATTATGCAATTCATATATCAATGAAGCAAAAAGTTTTGTACTAAATCATGAAGATTTCTACTTAGAAATGGAAATGCGTGGATACAACTATTCAGATGCATCAAAAAATGTCTGTAAGTCATCAGTTGATGGATCAAGAGCTTTAATAAAATGGAATAATAACTGGGTGACTTTTATGGACACTGCTTTTCAGCTTTTTGTGTTTGGAAGTGATCTCCGAGATATTTTATTGCCAATACTTATTAGAAAAATAGTCATTGATCTAAAGTTACACAAATTATCTACAGAAACTTTACAAGGTAAGATTTTTTAGTAGAAAACTTTACAGGGATTTTTTTTTTTTACTAATTTATTTTGCAAACTTATGTTTAGGGAATTTTTTCAAAACAAAGTTTTAATTAATCTACCTCTTGCATTATTCAATATTCGTGATTAACNAAAAAAAGAAAAAGAGTTATGAAATGACATATGAAAATATAATAATATTGTTTATGATGCGTGTTCTCTTGGGTAGATTAGAGCCAATCCAAGAAACAAATCCACACATCAAGGACAAATTAAAATGATAAAAAGACAAACATAGCTTCAAATGATAAATATCTTTTAGGTATATGCGAAAATCAAGGGGGAAATAAATACGACTGAACAATGAAGTAATATAAAACAAAAGTTTAATATTTATTCAAAGGAATTATAATTAATTAATTATAATAACAACTTGGATAAACAAAAGTAATAATTGTTTAAAGACTACTTAGAGAAATCAAAGTATTCGAAAAGGCTTTTGTATATAATTCAATGCGCACTCTTAGTAAAAACAATCAACCAAATTCAGTTGCAAAATGGAAATGGTGACTTACGACAAATTGCTAGAGCAAAGTTTTGAGCTATGATTGCCTGGCGAACAGCAGCGTTAAATATAAGATTTAAATGTCACAACAATTTAAGAAAGGCGCAGCGATGCAGAAACTTTTGTCTACGGCGAGGATGTGCAGGTCGAGCAGCGACAGTTTCGCGGGAGCGTCCTGTCGATTCGATCGCCGATGCGAGAGAGAGAGCCAGGCAACTCGCACGGGAAGCGTGCAAGACTCGGAAATTCAAGAGGGAACTAGGGCGGAGAGACACAAACATAATAAGATACTTCACAAAATTCAACACATCTATTATTTGTTTCATAATTGATAATCATGGTGTAAGTGTGTGTCTCCCACCATATGGTTAGTGCCACTATCGACTCCCACGCCAGCGCAATTACAATACCAGGCAATCGTGCCGAAATTCTCCGCTCAAGCGAACATTTCGCCCGCCTTGGCACAGTGAAGCGTCAAAAAATAAAAAAAACAATCAAAACGCGAGATAGAAAAGCGTATTGGTCGGATAGAGCTAAACCTAGACCACTTTTGCAGGTACAGTGGTGTTACAAAAAATAATTTTAAATATTTACTATAACAAAATCACAAGCNATTTGCTTGGGTAAGCGTAGTAATTAGGATGACTGTCGAAGCTTGAGTATAGTTTTCAGCAGACAGTGAGATGCTTTTTATCAGATTTTCAGCTTTTCCTTTAACTAAAGATCGCAAAAAATAATGTTTAATAGTCATTAGTACTTCAGCTTTATTAGCTTTGTTGTAATTTAACGTGCGAGACACACCTGGTCATTCTTCTCGTTTACCAGAGAATTTTAGTTGGTCAATCTACGGTAAACCAGAAGTGGAGGTAACCAGATTAGTGAGTCTACTAGAACTCAAAAGCAGGACGACACCCTCTTGGTCATTTTAAAAATCTGCAGAGTTACCTAAATTGTTATAACAATCATCCTCACCTTTACTGAAATTGTTCTCTTTAGAACAATCATGCTCTTAAGCTATAGGGTTCGAGGTCATGATGAGGAAGTGAACTGCCAAAGATTTCTTAAAGGCCATGTCAAGTTGCTATTAACGGGTCTTATAAATTTCTGGATAATATAAATATAGATTAACGATAAACAATCTTAGCTCGACGTTTTTGTAAAGTAAGCATAAGAATTTGAACTCTAGTTATGATTTTTTGTTTGCGTAAGTACATAACTGTCTATTTTGCAGTTAAATAAATGTCAAAGGTAAAAGGGGGGGGGGTCCAAAACTTCTCTCAAGTCGTTCAAATGAATGACATAAACAACAAGGTCAGTTGTGTTATGATACATTTCAAAAAATTCACATCCGTAAAGATGGATGAAAAATATCGGATAACTCCTTGAAAATTTAATAATAATTCTCCTCTAGATTTTACTTCGTAGATCCTTTTGTGTATATCCACTGCTCACAAGAAGGCTTTGTAAATTAAGCTTGTGCTTAACTAATTTAATAGACCTCTCAATTTCATCTTGGAGTATGTACAATGCATCAGACTTAAAAGTATTTGTCGTGATAATTTGTTTATAAACATGACCGTTTACAGCTGAATTTTTTGTATTACTAGTTTTTCTAAAGTTAGTTTGTTTTTATGTTCTGAAAAGCATAATTTTTGGTCAGCATAAGACAGTGAGCATGAAGACATTAGTATTTCATTAAAAGATAATTGCTACAAGTGAGCTTGCTGGTGATTGACCACTTTGTAGATGCACGTTGGTCTATGTCTCAACAATCTTTTATATTAGCAAGGAAAAATTTTTACGGAAGAAAAAAAAATCAAATAGGGACATGAAAAATAAGTTTGTGATATTTAAACGTCAATGATAAGTTGAATCTTTACCACTCATACTATTAATTTTAAATTTTTCAGCTTTAAGACATTAGACTTATAATTTGTTTTACCATTAAGTAAAAAATAAAAAAATTGCGTTGTAAAAAAAGGTTCTGCCGTTTCAGAAAAAGAATACGATAAGTGTGTTAAGGTCGAAAATAAGCTTTTTATATAAATTGTTTTTTAAGGTAATATCCAATCTAACTATGTTTGTAAGAACAATAAGTGATATACCAATTATTCTTAATAACTTACTTAATGCTACAAATGTAAAAAGAAAATGTAATTTGACACAAAAAACAGGTTGTAAGTGACATTAAATTTACAATTGCCGTCGGGCAGAAGGCATAAATGTACTGAATGCATTTTTAACTCTGACAAGTCAACTAGAAAGCTCATATGCTCTCAAATGATGAAACGTACCGAAGAAAGTTTTTGCTTTGTAAAGTAACAGAAGCTTGGGCTATCGCTTACAAAGAAAAAAAGGTGTAAGTGCAAAGCGGATCATGACTAGGAGTATGATTGTACTTAATCACTTTCTTTAATTGTAAACGCATCGGCTCCTGACAAGTTTTTGCAACCAAAGAAGTTATCAGGTGCATTTAAAGCCCTTTTTTCAACAATGTTACGCCAAAAAAGGCGTTAGTACAGTTCTTTAAATTTTTAGTTGTTAAATTGACTTTATTTACAATTAATGCAAGGATCGTGCCATAATTACTCTAAAATCATTTTTTCTGCCATAAAAAAATTTTATTTTTATCGTATTAAAAAAAAAATATTTTCTTTCCAATTCCTTAGTAAGATATGATATATTATAGTAAAATTGAAATGAAAATTACAGAAAGCTAAAGTAAAAATTCTATATAAACTACTTAGATGGGGTCGAGCTAATTCAAATTATCACTTTTTGCTGAATCGCAATGACAAAAGTATAAGTGGCAACATGTATGGATAGTAACTTAAGTAGTCACGCTAGATTTCTGGCAATAAAATTAATACTGTTACTTAGTAAGATCCAAATAATTCGATCTCAGGGCTGCGTTGAGTTCTGGTCATAAAATTTTGGTTCTGACAATCTTAAATCGCGAAACTTGGCTAGTTACTTCTTAAAACATTTATTATAACTTCTAAATGTGTATGCTATGACAAAAGTACAATGAATAAGTTGACGATTATCTTTTATATCACAAACTTTTTAAATTTCTTTTTTCGTCAATTTCTATTTAAATATAACAATGAAACTTGCAGTTAATAGCAGGAGACACCTTTACTAACACATATTTTGAACATTAAGTAAATGTAGCAAATAGTCAAAGTCTTTCTACGAGCTCCGTAAAGCATAGTAATTGAAATTGTTCTCTGACCAGTCAAAACCTATTCTTAGTGAGATGATAAATAGTATATAACTTTATTTCGAACAGATAAAAATTGAAACCAAGAAGCAATTTTTTTAAAATGATAAAATAATAAGACTAATTTTAATTATTGCTTGAACTATAAAGTAAACAAAGCTGGGAGCTAATTTTCTTGGGTAAGCGTAGTAATTATGATGACTGTCGAAGCTTGAGTATAGTTTTCAGCAGACAGTGGGATGCTTTTTATCAGATTTTCAGCTTTTCCTTTTACTAAAGTTCGCAAAAAATGATGTTTAATAGTCATTAGTACTTCAGCTTTGTTAGCTTTGTTGTAATTCAACGTGCAAGACACACCTGGTCATTCTTCCCGTTTACCAGAGAATTTTAGTTGTTCAATCTACGGTAAACCAGAAGTGAAGGTAACCAGATAAGTAAGTCTACTAGGACTCGAAAGCAGGACGACACCCTCTTGGTCATTTTAAAAATCTGCAAAGTTACCTAGATTGTTATAACAATCATCCTCACCGTTACTGAAATTGTTCTCTTAAAGACAATCATGTTCTTTAGCTATAGGGTTCAAGGTCATGATGAGGAAGTGAACTGCCAAAGATTTCTTAAAGGCCATGTCAAGTTGCTATTAACGGGTCTTATAGATTTCTGGATAATATATATNGTACTTGTCATACAAATGATTCTTTGTAATATTTTTTTTATAATCATTTTGATTATACACATGTGTGAACAAAATAGCAATAATACGCGGAAAAGTCATTGGAAAAATCGATATTAAAAAATTTATTAGTTTTCCCGAGGTACCTTCTGTAAAGATGACGGCTCTGCCACGATAAAGCTGACAACACTGTACTCTCTTGCTCTCATCTGCTAATATATACCTATACTTGTGTTAAACTTAAATTTTTATGCTCGTATGTTTATAGATGTACAGCGCATGCGCACTTACAGTACCTGAACAAAACAATTCTCATATTCGATGTTTTCCTTAATATTTTCTCAAAATTTAACGTGTTGATCCTATTCTTTTTTTTTAATAATAAATTCTTTATACTTTCAAGTACATGTACCAAGTTAAGGTGTGGGCCCATAGCTTTTTATTGCGGTACGGTAGTCCATTGAATTTCGGGTTCCGTAAGGTTGCGTGTTAAAATGACGAATTTTCACAATCGATTTCCTTAAAAATAAATGTGTTGACCTACCTATTTTGTTTTCCTAAAAAAAT